TGGATGCGCTTGTCCTTCCTGAGCTGTTTCGACGATATCCACCAGGCTGCAGGTCTGCACCAACGCTGATGTGTCTTCAGAGGAGCAGCACATAGAAACCTTTCAGTGCTGTTACTGTACTTACTGTGCAAGTCCTGAGTGTTTGGCGTGTCCTCGCTGGCTAACGCGCAGCCCTCGGCTGCTGACAGCAGCCCCTCCTGCTCCTGGCCGCGCTGGGGGTCGTGGCTCTGCCTGCCTGGGGCTGCTTGTCGCATGCGTTGGCCTCGGGGCGCGTGGGGCCTGTGCCTCCCCAGGTTGCTGGGGGTGCTGCCCCTGAGAGCTGCAGAGGGTCCCGGCCCCGCAAGGGGAGCACTGCCATGCTGTGTGCTCCAGGGCAGCGCCGGGGGGGTGTCCAGGCAGCGGGCAGCATGCTGCCGGGATCGGTGCCTGCGCCTGGGGCTGGTGCCTGTGAGGCAAACCAGCTCCCGCAGCAGTGCCCAGCCTGGCACAGGACATGCGAGGGTGCACGGTGGGTCCTGGCGCGTCGCGGGGCTGAGCTCTGCTGATAGGAGGGGAGGGATGGGGGTGCCCCTCGGTGGCGTCCTCTGGGGCATTGCCTCTTCCTGGGCTGCGGCAGGGCTTCTCCCTGGGGTGGCCCGTGTGCCCCGAGCTGGGCAGGCCCTGGGGTCCCTCCGTCCAGCGGGTGCTGGGATCTGACTGGCATCTCTCTCCGCAGGCCTACAACATCCACGTGAACGGCGTGTTGCACTGCCGCGTGCGCTACAGCCAGCTCCTGGGGCTGCACGAGCAGGTAGGGAGCCGTCCCCAGCGGTGGCAGGAGCTGCTGCCGACCATGCCCCCTCCTATGGGGCCGTGCTGCGGTGCCCGCTGCGCTCGGGGCGGGCAGGGTGCTACGCTGCCGTCGGGTGCTGCAGGAAAGCACCGCGCGCTGCTGCAGAGCCGGGGTGTCGGGGCGCTGCACTGGCTGCGGGCAGGCGGGTGCTGCCCGCGGGGCTGGCCAGGGTCTCGTTTTGTGTTCCTTGGCATCGGGTGCAGGCTCCTCTCCTGCTCTGGGATGTCCCTCCTGGGTTCTTGCGAACTGCTGGCTGCCCAGTTGGATGAGGAACACTGGCGAGCTCTCCGCTCCCCTTGCCAGGGCCCTGGAAATCAGCTGGGGTGGGGGTCAGAGCAGCCACCATCTCCCTGGAGGCTCTCGCAGCACTCTGCTCTCTTCCCAGTTAAGGAAAGAGTATGGCGCTAACGTGGTCCCGGCCTTTCCCCCGAAGAAGATCTTCACGCTCACCCCGGCAGAGGTAGAGCAACGACGGGAACAGCTGGAGAAATACATGCAGGCGGGTAAGCTGGGTCTGCCCCATGCTGCGGCTCAGGGCCGGCTGCCCGCGGCTCCGTCACCCAGGGCACCATGGCACCACCCGCATCTTCCTCCCCACACTGCTCTGTTTGCTCTGGCCCATCTTGGCACTCCCAGCCTCGCCCTGATATTAGTTTGCCGTGTCCACTGGATGTACTTTTCGTTGCGAAGTGGTGCTGCCAAGGCCGCTCCTCGGTCCCAGCCCTTTCCCTTTCCCTGTGCTGGCGGAGGTGGAGACCTGCTGGTGCCTCCCCCTGTGGGGCGTGCGTCCACGTGTGCGCTTCGTCTGGGTGCAAACTGAGGGGCCGCAGAGTGGATGGGCGTTGGGGTGGGTCCCTGCCCCTTCCCGCATCGCGCCTGGCTTCTTCTTCCCTGGCTCGTCTTGCCCCCACAGTGCGGCAGGACCCGACGCTGGGAGGCAGTGAGACCTTCAACAGCTTTCTGCGCAAGGCCCAGCAGGTGAGGGGGCAGGAGCCGCTGGATGTGGTGGGCTGCGGGGGTGAGTGCCGACTGCCGGGGCGGACGGTGTGTGCCGGGGCCCCTGGGCTGCGGGGCAGTCTGAGTGGGGTGAGGGTGGTCGGCGGTGGAGGGGCCGAGGTGCCAATCCTGTTTGTCTCTACAGGAAACACAGCAGATACCCACAGAGGAGGTGGTGCTGGAAGTGCTGCTCTCCAACGGCCAGAAGGTCAAGGTCACCATCCTTACCTCGGACCAGACGGAGGATGTCCTTGAGGTGCCAAAACTCTTGTGCTTGGCAGGACCGGCCCCTCCATCTGAGTTCTGTGGTTTCCCACACGTGCAGCCCCTCGGCCCTCCCTGCTGCGCCCCCACTCCGCAGCGGGGTTGTCTTGGGGGCGCGAAGAGCAGTGGAGCTGCGAAGGGTGTGCCCGTGTGCTCGAGCCCCTCTCTGCACCCAGATTGATGTCGGCAGGCCCCCAGCTGTCTCATGGTGCCAGTGACCCCCCAGGCCCCACTTGCCCCCCAGCGCGGCAGAGGTGCTGCCTTCCTGCCCGTTGGGAGTCCCCAGAACGCCGCAGGCGGGATCCTGTCATGTGACGAGGATGTGGAAGTGCTGCCTCTGCGGGAAGTGGTGACCTCCTGCTCTTGCTCACAGGCTGTGGCCTCCAAGCTGGATCTGCCGGATGACCTGGTCGGCTACTTCAGCCTCTTCCTGGTGAGAGAGACCAAGGACGGAGCTTTCTCCTGTGAGTAGAGCACACTGGGGACAGTCCCATGGGGGCTGCGGTGGGACGTCTGCCCCGGGAGAGGGAAAGCGGTGCCTTGCCGGGAGTGAGAGCTGTGTGCTCGGGCCAGATGGCCCTGCTTGGGGTCGGGGGATCCAGTGGGGTCCCCCCGGGGCACCCTGGCTGGTGGGGGTCCGGTGGGCTCCCGCAGCCCCGAGCCACTGCTGAGCTGCTGTTTCCCTGCAGTCGTGCGGAAGCTGCAGGAGTTTGAGCTGCCGTACGTGTCCGTCACCAGCCTGCACAACTCCGAGTTCAGGATCATCCTGCGCAAGAGGTGAGCGGCAGGGACGGCAGGGCAGCGACCGCCGGAGCAGTGGGGTGGTGTCCGGGGCTCCGTGCTGTGCAGGGGGACCCCTCCCCTCCCCTACCGCCACAGGGTGCTTTGGCCCCCAGGAACCCCTGGGTGTCCCCTGCCACGATGCCAGGGGCCGGGCTGCCCTGCTGGACTTGGCTCCTGTTTCTGCTTTGCCAGACCCAGCCCTCCCCGCCTCTGGCAGCCGCTTGAGTGGGGAGGGGGGCATGGCGACTGATGGCTACCGGGGGAGCTGGCCAGAGAGCCACCCGAGCACCTTGTCCAGCACGGGGGGTGTTTTTCTGCCCATCGTTGTTAGGAGCTGGGGACTAGGTTGACCCATGTGGTTCCCTTCTAGCTACTGGGACTCCTCCTATGATGACGATGTAATGGAGCATCGTGTGGGGTTGAACTTGCTGTACGCGCAGGTGAGGGTTGGTGTGGCCCAGACGGGTGAGGAGGGGCACCGCACCCCTTGGCTATGGCTGTGCCAGGTCTCAGCGCTGGGCCCGGCTGCTCACCAGGCTCTGCTTCTTGGCAGACGGTGTCAGACATTGAGCATGGATGGATCCTTGTTAACAAAGAACAGCACCGGCAGCTGAAGTCCCTGCAGGAAAAAGTCTCCAAGAAGGAGGTAGGGGAGGGCAGGATGCTGTCACTGGAGCAGTCCCAGCACCGGACTGGCACCGCTCCCCTGTGAACGCGTGGTGCTGAGTTCGGTGCCCATTCCTGACCTGGGAGGGTGGCCATCAGTGCTGAGCTTCCCCGGCTCTGCCCGCAGTTCATCCGCCTGGCGCAGACCCTGAAGTACTACGGCTATCTCAAGTTCGACCCCTGTGTCACTGACTTCCCTGAGAAGGGATGCCACGTCGTCGTCAGTGCTGGCAACAACGAGCTCAACTTCCAGGTGCGGCTGCCGAGCGACCAGATCAAGGAAGGCAGCTTCAAGGTCACGCGCATGCGGTGCTGGCGGGTCACGTCCTCGGTGAGTGCCACTTGCCAGCGGGTCCCTGGGGAGCAGGGAGAGCTCTGTGGGGTCTGGTGGGACCCGTCCGCCCCGCTGCTCCAGCAGCGCTCCCTGGGAAAGGTGCTGGCTGTGTTGCCTGCTTCCAGCCCACCTGGGCTGGGGAGTGCTTTGGGGCTGAGGGGGTCACCGGTGTGGGGACATTCGAGGGGGCTGCTGCTGTGAGGGGACCCCACGGTGGTGGAAGGCCGGTGGGAGCTGGGCAGGGTGGCCGGCACCCGGTGGGGTGCTGCCCTCTGTCAGCACGGGGGCCTGGGGAAGCTGTCCGCTCTCCCTCTGGGGGGTCCCAGCCTCAGCGCATGCCATTGCAGGTGCCGATGAGCAATGGTCCCTCGGGGAGCAGCCCGGGGAAGTCCGAGGTGAAGCTGGAGTTGGCTTTTGAGTATCTCATGAGCAAGGACCGGCTGCAGTGGGTCACCATCACCAGTCCACAGGTAGGGGCGCCTGCATGCCAGGCCAGTGGTGGACAAGGACAGGAGCAAGGGGGTGGCTGTGAGGGAGAGAGATGGTCTGGGCTTAGCGTGGTGTGTCGGGAAGGACGTGGGGCGCACAGAGCGCCGTGACACCTCTGCCTTGCAGGCCATCATGCTGAGCATCTGCCTGCAGTCCATGGTGGACGAGCTGATGGTGAAAAAGTCTGGAGGTAGCATCCGCAAGGTGAGGGCTGGGGCTGGATGTTGTCTCTGGGGGGGGGATCCCATCCTGCCCCTGGGGCTCCCCGGCGTCTCGGCTGGGCACTGCTTGTTCTCCTCAGGACGGGGCCAGCTGGAGGATCCCCAGGGGCCATCTTAACCTCTGGAGCTCCCCATGGGGACCCTGCCAGTGAACTGGGCTCTTCCCCTGCAGATGCTTCGCCGGCGGGGCGCCGGCGGGTGAATGGGGCCCTGCGGCGCTCGGACAGCCAGCAAGCTGTGAAATCGCCCCCACTGCTGGTGAGTGGGACCCTGTGGCCCTGGTAGGGGAGACCATGGTAGTGTGACCATGGGCTTTGCTGTGCGTCGGGTACTGGAGCACACTGCCCCCAGAGGTGCCCCTGTCCTCTCGGCAGGTCCGGCAGCAGGGAGGGCTGGGATGAGCCCTGAGGACAGCAGGGCTGCGGGGGGCCATTCCTGTAGCCCTGGGAAGAGAAAGGCGTCCTGGACGCATCCCTGGGAGCGGGAAGGGATGGTGGCCTGGGCTCGTCCTGGGAGGGCAAGTGGTGGCCGAGGGCAGGGGGGTGGTGGGTGGTGGGAAGGGTGGGTGGCATGTCCCACCGCCTCGGTGCTGCCTGACCGCGCTGTCCCCGCAGGACTCGCCTGACGCCTCCCGGGAGCCGATGGCCAAACTCTCGGTGAGTTGTGTGTGGGCACATCGGCGCCGTCACCCACGGACCCAGTTCGGGGAGTGGAGGGTCCTCCCTAACATCTCCCCTCTCCACAGAGCAAGCTCACCTCTGTCAGCCTTCGAGGGATCAGCCACTCCAGCTCTGCTAACGATGTGGGCGCTAACGACTTCCATGGCAATTACGCCTTTGAGGGCATTGGTGATGAAGATCTGTAGTGCCCCCCCTTCCTAGGACAGCACCAGCCCGAGGGCCTTCGCTGAGGAATGTACGACCTGCAGACAGGTTGCAATCAACGTGCCTCTCACCTGCTACATCCACCTTCCCCTGCTCCCCCGGGCTGGGGAGATCACCCCCAGCCCACCGTTGCCTTCGGGGTGGGGGCAGCTGAACTCCTCCTGCTGCTGGCTCCAGCTGGGAGAGGGCTTGTTCCCAGGGCGGCACCAGCCCGACCTGAGCAGCGTGCCCGGGGCCGAGCCTTGGAGCGGCATCACGGAGCCTGGCCCAGCGTGGGGGGCAGAGCTGCCCCTTCCCCAGCCGGGGGGGGGGCCGGCCCCGAGCGCCCAGATGCCCCGGGGGCTGGGGCAGCAGCTTGGCAGCAGCAGGCTGGTGGCACCGAGCGGCCCTAGTGAGGCTCCATAATGCCAAATTAGCATTTAGGTTTCTGCTCAGAGACAGACTGCAGTAAACTGTCTCCGGGGGAGCTCTGCGCAGAGCCCCCTCTCTAACCCGCTCATAGACTCCAGCGTAATCTAGGCTTGTAACCACGTATCTCCTGCTGCTCAGACCGACCAGAGCATTAACGGACAGTAACCGATGTTTACACACTGCAATGATGATTAAAATGGATCCTGATTGGTACTGGGCTGTCTGTTGGGGGGGTGGCCGCTGTCCCTCCCCTCCCGTCCCCGCACACCTTGCCAGCCCCATGCTGTCCTCTCCTGAAGCAGAACAAGGCCCCCAGGGAGAATAGCGGATAACAAAACGGACTGTTTAATGCTTTTATACACAATATAAATTACACTGACTGGTACGGCAACAGCCACGGAACCAGTCCTGTTCCCCCCTCCCCCATTTTCCCCAAACTTCGGCAGAGGAAGGCTCCCGACAGTCAGGTACCACCCCCCGGGGGCGCCTGGGGGGGGGCACGGCACCACTGCTGCTGGGGCAGGGACCGGAGCCTGGCACCCGAGCTGCCGGTTGTGGCTCCACCCCGCCCAGGCAGGACAGGGCTGCTGGAGACCCCGGAGCGCCCGCAGGCCCTACGTAAGGCAGCCCTGAGCCCCCCATGGAGTCTGTTGCCCGTCCCTCCCCCAGGGAGGGCAGGGGCTGCGGCTGGGTGCCCCAGGGCTGAGGCACCCCGGCCCGACGCAGGGCTGGGCGCCCCCGCAGCCGGGCTAAGTGCTGTCTCAGGGCAGGGCTGTGCCCACGGCTGGAGGGGCCAGGAGGGCTTTGGCAGTACGCGGGTTTACCCAGCTCTCAGCCGTGTGGCCGTGGATCTTCTGGTGGCGCTTGTAGTTGTCCCAGTGGCCAGTGGTGTAGGAGCAGTCCCGGCACTGGAAGGGCTTCTCGCCCGTGTGTCGCAGCATGTGCCGCTTCAGGTTCATGCTCTGGTTGCAGCTGTAGCTGCAGAGGCTGCACTGGAAGGGCTTGTCGCCAGAGTGGATGCGCCCGTGACGCTTGAGGTTGGCCAGGTTGCCACAGGCGTAGTCGCAGAGCTGGCACTTGTAGGGCTTCTCGCCGGTGTGCACTCGCTGGTGCCTCTTCAGGTTGTCGAGGTGGGCAGAGGCGTAGGGGCAGAGTGGGCAGACGAACGGCTTCTCCCCACTGTGCGTCTTCATGTGCCGTGCCAAGTGGTTGGGGTAGTGGGTGACAAAGGAGCAGAGGCTGCAGGCGAAGCCTTTGTCCCCAGTGGCCTTGCGGGGGCTGGCGCCCGGCTCGGTGCCCAGCACCGCCAGGCTGCAGCGCCCACAGACCTGCTCAGCCAGGCCCTCATCCTGCGCGAACCCGTCGTCCAGCACCAGCCCGCACATGCGGCACGTGAAGGGGAAGAGCAGCTCGGGCAGCGCAGCTGCCTCCTCACCCCGCAGCCGAGTGCAGCCGGGCAGGAAGGGGCCGGTGCCCCCG